AGAAAGTGTGGAATATATACACATTAGAATACTACTCAGCGGTAAAAAACAATGACTTCTCGAATTTTGCATGCAAATGGATGGAAATAGAACACACTATCCTGAGTGAGGTAACCCAGACCCAAAAAGATGAACTTGGGATGTACTCACTCATAATTGGTTTCTAGAGATAAATAAAGGTCAGTGAGTCTATAATTTGATCTCCTAAAGAAGCTAAATAAGAAGGTGATCCCAAAGAAAAACATATAGCTATCCTCCTGATTATGGGAAGTAGACAAGATTGCCGGGCAAAAAATGGGATCTTGGGGCGGGGGGAGGGAGGTAAGGGGAGATGGGGAGAGAAAAGTGAGAAGGGGAGGTTGGGGGGAACTTGGGAAACAGGATGTTTGGGATAAAGGAAGGTCGGATAGGGGAGCAGGGAAGCACACATCACATGCATCTTAACAAACAACTACCCCACAAAAGTTTTGAATGACTACTAATGCACAAACCTCAGTTCCGTGTCTTCATCAGAGGCATATCTGTTCTAGCCATTGGTCCATTTCTAGATCAGGTTTTTTCATTGTCTGTCAACTTGAGGTCATTATGAATTTTGGCTCTTCCTTTCTATTATGCATGGTTTTCACATATTTTCTCTTTCTGTGGCTTTTGCCTCACTTATCTTTCAGTCACTATGCAATCTCATCTATATGTATATCAATATAGTACCTAATTCTTATTGTCAACATCAACATACAGATAGAATTTATATAGCTACAATTATTTTTCTTCTTCTTCTTTTTTTTGGTTTTGTGAGACAGGGTTTCTCTGTGGTTTTGGAGCCTGTCCTGGAACTAGCTCTGTAGACCAGGCTGATCTCGAACTCACAGAGATCTGCCTGCCTCTGCCTCCCAAGTGCTGGGATTAAAGGCGTGAGCCACCACCGCCTGGCTCTTATTTTTTGAAGTTAGATATTAAAGGATGAACATGTATACATATATTTTATCTACCATACATATTTAAATTATTTTTTCCATAGTCAAATTGTAATCTACGAAATATATAATGCTTAAATTTTATGCATTGCAGTTTGCTTTGTACTTGATCTTCCTTTGAATCTTCACATCCATAACTCCTTCCTAAGCTTTGGAAATTTAATTTTATGTTAGATTCTATGATTCATTTCCAGTACACCATGAGAAATATCTTCTTCAATTTTTCACTCCATGCATCTATTGACAAACTGTTATTATTTGTTGAAATGCTTTCCTTTCTGGAAGATTTACCAAGATTGATGATCAACTTTTAAATTTCCCAATTTTAGTGTTTTTTAAGCACTATTATGTATTATGTATCTGTGTTGTATTTTGAAAGTTTTTATCTTCATTATTCCCTCAATTTTAAAGTTGTAGATTCACTTTACTCTTTGTATAAAGCATTTTAATGTGGCATCTTGGTAAATTATTTAATTTACTTCATATTTTCAAAAGCATACATATAATAATCACCATTTCTTACAATGTTCTAATCACATTCCAAACTTTGAGATTCGTTGCATTTTTATACATGCCAATTACTATTTTCATTCACTGATATTTGAAACTTGCTAAGAAATACATTACAGTGATACTCATTTGTAACATTATACAAACACCAGAATGTGTTTCTTAACCAGTTACAAATATTTTGAAGAACTGCAGGGAAAAGCTATACCATCCTTTTAATCTACCTTGGTTCTTAATGTTCTAAATCTATTCACTGTAGATTCAATTTGTCTCCATATCTATTGTGTTGTGTGTATGTTGTTGTATAGTTTAGTATATATTACCCGCCTCCCTCTGTAGTTCAAGGTGAACAGAAATTCATGTCAATCCTCATGCATCAGCCTGCAGTGAACTGGGATTACAAGTGTGTGAGACAGCTGAACCTGTTTCTGACAGCGTGGGCTCAGAATAAAAGTGGCTTCTCATCTGCAACACTGTGGAGGTAGAAAGCCCAGGGTAACTAGTCACAATATGATGAGGGGTCAGCAATAACTTTCTGGATCACAAGCCAATAAAGAGGACCTTACAAGTCCTGTTATTCTCAAAGGGCAATATATACAAGGAGAGAGTGGAGAGCCTGGCCAGTTGTTCCCCCACTTTCTCTTATTCAGTCACAAGATCAAACTGTTCAGCAGCTTCAAGCTCAGCATTCAAGCCATAGCCCACTCTTCTAGCTCCGATTTCAGGATCTCTGGCAACTTCTTTCGTTTCTCTTTCACAACTGGAGGAGAGATACCAAGAAGTGTTGTATCTTGAACCCAGGTTTTAACAGGTACTTTTGAGACTTCAATTAACTTTCAACACACAACAGGTGAGACTCCAGGCAAATCTTCAGGTCCGTCAAAGCCAAGAAAGGATCGTCGGACAGGAGTGGAGGTTGCGGTAGAACTGAGGCTCTCCAGCCCACTGTAAGATCATCTGTCTTTCTGGGAGATTTCCAGGTCGCTGGTGTCCAGCTCTCCTTCCCCGGAGTTAGACTCAATGTTCTGAGTGTACAGCACTGGGGTGCTGGGGGGGCGGGGTACAAAGGACACTACAAGTGTTGAAGAACCTTGAGAGAAAGAAGGACTTTCCCCCTCCCAAGATAAAAGAGATCAAAAAACTCCTTAGAAGTGTGTGGATAGCTGGGACCTCTGGAACCACTATTGCATGAGGCACGATCTTCTTCAAGATGATGGACTTTCTAATTGGTGCCACGTGTGGTGTTTTTGGCCCAATTTCAGGAAAGATCTTTAGAAGATCTGAGCCAGATTTCCCCTGGGAACTCTTTGACCACTGGGCGGCTCCTCTGGACCACGTTTGCTGCTCTGACATGCTTATAATCCAGCTCAGTGTCTGCCGCGTTTGCCAATTTATGCTCATGCCAATCGGGTTGTTCATTCATTTTGAGTAGTGTTTTTTTTTAATACCTCATGCAACACAGGTAAACATTGTCTAGAATATCAGCTCTAAATACACAGCAATTTATTAAGCATCTGGACTGTTTTCTGGTTCACAGCTGTTGATTTTCTTTTCCCTTTGGGATTGACTGTCCTCTTCTGGTTCACTGAATGTAAAGAAAAGTTTAACTGTTTCATGGACACTGTAATTATTATGCTGTGCAGCTCTAAAACTTAATAATTACCACAAAGTATGTTGGCGTATTTAGCACTCATTAAAAGCTTTGCTGTGTTGGCTTATGTCTGACCAGTGTAAGCAGAAGACTGGGTCTGTGTGACATTTCTGTGGCATTTTAGACAGATTTGGCACTGTCATTTCTGAAATCTACATAGGATTGCCATCATTCCTTACAGATGGGCTGCGTCCATTCCAAATCTCTGTTCTTCTGCACTTGTTCCATCTACATCGCGCTGTCGA